CGTGTGCTCTTCCGATCTCCCCAAAACCCCAAAACCCCAGGAGCACAATAAAACTTAGGAAGATGTTGTCAATTAAAATTTAGAATCAATATTTTTAACCTAATCAAAATGCAAATCAAGAAAGACTCTGAGATCTCCAAATTATTGAAGAATGATGTCATCATTTTCTTTAGTATAGAGACTACTCAAGATAAAGAATCATTTAAGCCCAACTATAGAAAGCTAGTAACTGATTAGATACTAGACCAAACTCTAGAAGGCCTAAGAGACCAAAATCCAGCTCAAAACTCAAATGATCATGGTGCTACTATTATGATAAAGGATCTTGATTTCTTTATCCAGGATAAATTCTTCCCAAATATAGTATAAATTGACTGGTAAGTGAAAATATCTCTTCATAACTATATCAGGAAAACCTATGATGTAAAGTTTAAATAGATTCTGGCAACTGAAACTCATGTTATTAAGCCTACAAATATGCAGAAATTGAAGATAGAAACGATAACTAAGACAGGTTTAAGTGATTAAATCATCGAAGAAAAAGGTATATCTTTCCAAGAAGCCATTACTAAGGTAAGTTGAGTTTATCCATTTCATCCATACAATGTTATTGAATATACTCTCTTTTAGTTTACCTAATTTGCATATGAGAATCTGATACTAAAAAACCAGTCTTTTGAGTTAGTGGTATTTGGCGATTGGATGCTTAAGTATCAATTCCCCATTGAAGCAGCTCAGAAAAATATCAAGCTTGGACCTCATTTCAACCAATATATTTCCCTAATGACACTAATAAGTGAAGTCTATGGACATCAGAAGGCTGCTATGATTAATATCCCAGAGGACTTAGTAACTGAGTTCAATATTTAAGTTGATAACTTGGATTTAGTTTTGAAGGCAAGTTACCATTGCTTGCTAATTGCTGAATTTTTTCAGAAAAGTTTATTGCCTCACTATACTACTCAGTAAAATGACACTGTGGAATAAGATTTAGACATTTGCTACAGTCCCACTGATATTTATGAAGGTAAAACATCGAAGAATAAACAAACCAATGCAATTCAAGAAGAAGAGGAGAAAACTACCACTTAGAATGGTAATGGAAAAGTAGACACTACAAAGAGATCAGAAAATAATAATGGAGATAAAAATGAACCTTAAGAGAGAAGACCTAGGAGCAGAAGTAGATCAATTGAAAATAGAAGAGGTAGTAGATAAACAATGGGAGATGAAAATGAAGTAGATTCAGTCTTCTCATTCATTAAAATAATAAATGTGCCTGATTAATGCAACGAAATTGACCTATTTAAACTTATTCCAAGGCATATAAAAGTTTATGTAAGCTATCCATTATTATTTTCTCTTTCTCATTCATAATATGATTCGCTTTTAGGAGGTTAAGTTTGGTAAGGATAGAGTAGGATTACACAGTTGTGTATTTTAAATTGAAAAGTTTTCTACAGAGGAAGTTATAAACCTTGGAATAAGGAGAATCAAAGATTACGATGTTGAGAGTAAGTTATTTAATAAGAAACCAAATTAAATTAATAAAAATAATTATTGCCATGATAAAATTATAATAATGGCTTGCTAAGGCAAATTTCAATTATGCTTATAACTAGAAAAGCATTTAAAGATTTTAACAAATATATCCTCTAGCTTTTGTAAGTTCAAAGAAGGAATTCAGTGAAATTCATGATAACAGAAGAAACATGCACAGAAATTCAGATAGATTTTCAAATTAAGATAGGTAGCCTAATATTGATCTGAGTTAATGTAAAATGATTTACTGAATAACTTTATAGTTAATATGAATGAGTATCTGGGACTTAAACTGAGAGGCTTGCCTTTTTAAATAAGATAGCAGGACATTGAGTTCTTCTTTAAAGAGTTTGAATTGATAAAAGAATCTGTAAAAATTGGGAGAAACTTTGATGGACAAAGAACTGGTGAAGCTGCAGTCTTATTTTAATCAGAATCTGAGAGCAAAAGAGCATTCTAAGTAAAGCAGGGTCAGAATATAGCCCACAGATGGATATAGCTTTATTAAATGACTGTCTCCGACTATGCAGCTTTTGACTAAAAGTATTGTTGCTAAATATTAAATCTTATGTTTAGTTAACAAACCAGAAAGACTGTGAAACTGAATAAATACATTACTGAATAAAATATGAACAGAGTAATGAAACTCAGAGGACTGCCTTACTCAATTACATGTGAAGAAATCTGCTAATTCTTCAGAGAATATGATGTGGTAAGTGCCATTTACTAATAAAACATTAACATTATCAAACTTATCTTGTATTAAATATAATTTATTAGACTCTCAGTGATGTGGTGATAGAAGAAATGAATGGTAAAAAAACTGGATATGGCTTAGTATTTTTCAAAGATAGTACCACCGCATAAGATGCTAAACTGCTCAAGAATAAATAACAAATAGGAAAGAGATATGTCGAAGTACTTGAAGTTACACCACAAGACTTAATGTAATGATGTATTAGTAGTAGATAATGCTGCTGATTATGAGAAAATGCCCAGATTAAAGAGTACCTTTTCAATATTGCTTTGGAATATATGAATCGTTAATTAATTTTTTAGATGTTAATATTCATCATTTTATAATTTTCTTACACCTGGGGTTTTGGGGTTTTGGGG